GCTAAACACACATTAATTGATCATCCCTTCTCCACCCGCGCATTTTAGCCTCGGCCGCTCTTCCGAACGGCCGCGGTCCATCCTATCCTTCCGCCGCCGTCCGGCCATGAAGATTCTCCAGGTAACGCCGTCCGAATCGCAAATTCTTACTTTTTACGGGGCCGATTTTCAATATCCATAATCTCTCTGTTTCTCTACAGGCGTAGGCTGCGATTTTCTCCGGTGTGCGATAGCTTGTCCCTGAAGAAAACATTAAAACTGTAATATTAAATAATCCTATTCCAATATTTAATTAATTAATTAGGGTTTCGAAAGGGGGGAGAGAGAATCAGAATACAGGGGAACGGATGACGAGGCCGGTCGTGCTGCCGCCGCCGGCGTCGGTGGACCGGAGGCAGCCGCTCCTCGGCGCCTCGGGGCGGGGGAGGAAACCGAGGCTGGGGGAAGTCGCCGGGGGGACGGCGGCGGAGTGCGCGGTGGTGTGCTGCTGCTGCCCCTGCGCCCTGCTCAATCTCCTCGTTCTGGGGCTGTACAAGCTGCCCGCGGGGATCTGCCGGAGGGCGCGGAGGAGGAAGCGCCGCCGCAGGATGCTGGAGGCGGGGCAGCTGCCGCCGCGCGGGTGTGGAGGCGGCGGCGGAGGGGATTTTCCGGCGATGGAGGCCGGAGAGGATGTCGGGGTGGAGGGGAGGGAGGCGGCCGACGAGCTGGACAGGGAGATGATGGAGAGGTTCTACGGAGGAGGCTTCTGGCGGAGCTCGTCCCGGAGAAACGAAGTCGAGGCACAGTAAACGAAAAGTGAGATTAGTAATTAGTAAACAATATTACTAATTACCATTGTTTTGTTACTGCGTTGGTAAGAAAAAAAAAAATAAAGAAACAGTTTCTAATCAAAATGGTTATTGGATGTTGTCTTTCATAGTTTGCCTATAGTTACTGATGATGATATTTAATTCAATTGTGATATTTGTAGCCTATAGTTACTGATGATGATGGTTGGTGAATTGTTTTCTGCCTAGCAAAATATTAATAAGTTAATTTTTTTTTTTTTTCAGTTTTCCCCCTTTTTTTCAATTTAACAATAAATTTTAATTCTATTCATTTCTTATATTTTAGTAAAGATATTTTACAGCCCGAACAAATTTACGGTCGGTAACCGATTGTCGGTTGAAAATATTTCAATTTATATTTTTTTCATGTATAAAATATCAGACCTAGTTATACATAAGTATGAGAGTATATCTATTGTTAGGCTCATGTCTACTTTTATCATTAATATGCATATTTTTATTTTAGAAAATGCATATCTTAAAAAGCAATATAAATGTATATTATTTTAATATAATATAAATATATTTTTTAGTCACATATTATGAGAAGCACAAGTTTTTGTGTAACAGTGATGAGTTTCGTTTACCCATTGGTTCATTCCTTACTATCCCTTTTGGTGGAATGCTTACTACAAATTAAATGATGATAGTCAAATTTTGATTGATTTGTTATACTAATAATCATTTCCCACCATAATTAATTATTATGTCACAATTGAATAAACCCATAATGCTCTCTCCACATTCAAACTAAATAAATCTTAAAAATGGTTACATTTTTGTGTGGGAATCTTCAATTTAGCTTCTAATAGTCAAGTTCAGGTTCGAGTCGTTCGAGTCTCCATCATGTCGACTCGAGATCAACTTTGTCGACAAAACAAGTTTGATGCCGTCTCGTTTATATTAATCAACGAATAGAACTCAAATCTTAATTAGCCGAAATGAAGTAAATTTCAATAATTATGTAACAAAATATCTATTCTCAAACCGTAAATAAACGAGGTTTAAATGAGCTTGAGCTCGGCTCGTTTCAACCGAGTCGAAACAAATCTTACGAACAACTCGTTTCATTTAGCAGTTATAATGACACCATTAGAATATGGGGTCATAGGAACTAATTTCTTTTTTCTTTTTTCTTTTTTTTTTTTTAAATTGCCTAGTAATTTTTTTGGGAGGTAAAAAATGGTAAAAAAATGTGGGCTTCATTATTAGGAGATTGTACATTTGGGGAGAAACAGTGTCAGGTGGTTCTTTTTCAGAAGTTTATTGACAAAATGAGCAAAAAACACCAGAAAAAATGGTCCCTTTGTACATTGGCCTTCACATGAAACCACCAGAAGTTTTGTACACTTTGTAAGTTGTAAGCAAATATTGAGTGTACTTTGAATCACACCAATGGGTAGGGGGAAAGTGTAAAGTCCCTTTTCTTTTTAGATGAAATGACCTAATAATTTTGTATTATTTTTTTATTTTTTGTGTAGGGTATCTTTTCACAAGAATATAGATAATTAATAAATTTAGGAAAATTCTCTTGAATATTTTTAAAGCATAGTTGGGTTTTCATTCTTTTTTTCTATGAAGTTAATATTGGAAGTGAACAAATTTAGTTTATTAAACATTTCTTATCATAAAACTTACTACACAAATTCTTGTGTGATAGGTCGACCAATCAATTTTATTTTTTTTAACATATTGCATAATTATTTTATCAAATGTTAAATATTTTTGTTTATGTTGTTTTTTAATATGCTATGTCAAAATGTACATATTTGTTAAAATGATATAGTTGTCTAACGTATGATTATTTAAACCGTTAAAATATTTTAACACTAATATCTGTATTTGTAATTATTCTATCAATAAATCTAACCTAACTATTTGTATTCTAAACAAGTTTATTACAATATAGGATTGATTAATTCTCACAAATTGTATGAAGGCTTGTAAATTTGCCTAAAACATCAACAACCAAATAAAAATGCTTGTTTTTATAATTATTTTAATTACAATAAATATTTATCTGAGACAGAAAGTGAGTCAATTGTTTCTTTTTTAACACTCTATGAGACAAAATGCTAGTCTTTATTATATTATTTTTTATCATATAATATTTCAATATAAGAGTATACACATATGTTAAAAACGTATGTATACCTGACGAAAACGTATATATGTATACCTAACAAGTGTTTGTAAACAGTGTTAATGCAAAAATATTTGATGACACCAACACAACTTCCGTCTATCCAACCGCTAATTGTGGTGCAGTGAGTTGCAAACTTGTAACGAATCTAATATTTATTTATTGATTTATAACAACTTTGATTTTTTTTTATTTTTTTTTTTCATGGGCATTTTTCCATAACCTCCATATTTTGTAATAGATTTCTTACTTTTACGCATGATATCATTTTATATGTGAAAGGGTCGAAATTGGAGATAACTATGGATCTTCTTTTGAATATTTTCATCGTGTCTGGTCAAAAGGTATTAACATGAGAATCTTCAATCATTTCGCAGGTTAATGAAGCACACTATTTTTTGATGTCCTTTGTCTAATTTTTAATTCGTAAATTGGGACCTTAATATTGATTTTGAGACCCGTTTGGATGCTCCAATCCAATTACATATCTCAATATGTGGACGAAAATGATATAAAAGTGTTGAAGAGCAATCAATGTGTGGATAAAATGATAAAAAGTGTTGAAGTGCAATCAAACGGAGAGGATAAAATGTTGAAAAATGCTACAAGTATATAATAAATGTAAATAGAGATAGAGATGTATGAAACACTCATGGGAGTCCACTTGAATTTTTATTTTAGATAGAACCCACTTAATATGAGTGTTATGTACACCTCTATGTACACTATTATGCATTCCTCTAAAATGTTTGTCCTAGAGATGAAAAGGAAAATAATAAGTATATTCTTGTCATATTTTATTTTTAAAATTAAAACTTGTATTTATAATTGAAATAAATAATATTATTTGTTTTTAAATTAAAACTTATACTTATAAATTAAAATAAGTACATTTCAACATTATTTTTCTTATAGTTACTAAAAATGATCTAATTACAACAGTATCCCAATAAGAAAAGAATAAAAATCGCAAGTGAAAAGCTTTTGTCCACCCGTAACATTTTAAAGATTTTAAAGAGAATTTCATATTAAGGATTGTACACGACTTGACCATATATTTTTATTTTTAATTTAACAATCTAATTATTTTGCTAAATAATTTAATTTATTTTTTTTCCTAAAATGTATGTATATTTAAACTAATATGAAACTACAATTAAAAAACATGTTTATTTATAATAAAATTAAAACTACGCACATTATTGGATTTGAATATACGGCTCAGATCACACTATGAGAATTCATTACAAACCCAGTGAATATTTTTGTAAATACTTGATTAAACTTCTAGTAAATGAAACAACATGATATTATTATTTTTAATCGTGTTATCATATATCAACAATTTTAAAAACTAATTGTGACAGATAATATATTGAATTCAATTATATTTGTTGGTCGTGTTTTCTTTTATGAACTTTCGTTGAAAAACCATTCCCATAGATAATGGCTCCTAAAATAAGCTAGGCCAGGTCCGACCTATTTAATCAAGTCATGTTCGAGTGCACTGGCTCCGCCCTCCCCANAGGTTTCCAGTTTCCACACCACGACACAAAGGCTCCTCGCCTCGACGCCCCGCCTTTGGGTCACCGCCTCCGACGCCTCGCCTCCGCCTCCGCCCCGACGCTCCGCCTCCAACTCCACTTCCAGTTTGCCCCAAATCCAAAAGCCCTAGGTTTGAGTCTTTGTCCCAAATTCAGATTTTGCTCTCAGATTTCTTCAAATTTTATCAAGTTTTTGAGTGCAGCTGTTAAACAATAAGTCCCAGTCTCACCTTTGGTTTTTAGATTGTATGGGGTTGTTCTTGTTTGTTTAATTTCACGGTAGCTTTTTTCAAATGTTATGGATTATTTTCAGATGCGCCTGCTTGTTTTGTGTTCTTGTCGGCAGGTACAGTCCTGGGCGGGCCGACCCTCCCCAAATCGAGCCAGGGCACGGGCCCGATCTACTTGTTTATGTTAATTTGCCTTTTGTTTTTTTTAATTAACTTGTACTTATACATCCAGCCCATAAACTTGTAACTGACGAAACAACACGACGTCGTTTTGATAATTGTATAACCATTTCCCAACCCTCGATTCCTTCTGTCTGTGCAGCGATTCTAGTTCATTGTTGTTCAGTTGGGACGAATAAAAATCGCAACTCATCAAAGGCTAATCCGGAAAAAAATGAGTGCTTTCAATGCATTTAAAGCGAATGTTCCTATTGCGTGGAGCCCTAATCTGTACATAACGCTGGTGAGGGGAATCCCGGGCACAAGAAGGCTCCACCGGCGCACGTTACAGGCATTGCGCCTCAGCAAGTGCAACCGTACTGTCACACACTACAATACTCCCTCTCTCCGGGGAATGCTTCAGCAGGTTATCTTATCTCCTTCTCCAACTTCTCATCTTCCTTCGTTTTCTCAAACAAAAAAATTAAATAAAAAATGGTTCTTTTAATATTGATTGGTTTTTATTTTTGATTTCAGGTGAAGAGATTGGTGGTGGTTGAGACGGAGGAAATGTACAATGCTCGCAAGGAGAAAGAGGCTAAACACCGGGCAATTCGCCCGCCTTTGGTCGTCAGTCACCATCAACTTCCTGCCAGTGATTCTTCGGCTTGATTGCTCCGATTTTCTCAACTGGTCAGCTATGTGTTTTTTTTTTTTTTAAAAAAACTTTTGTAGATTAATTCAGCTGACTTATGTTATGTGATGTGGTGAAAACATAAAACTGAATAGAATTTTGAATTTTCCTTGCTGCGTTCTTACATTGGCTTCCAGTTGATGTATGTTTGAAGTTCTTCCATTCCCTATCAGTAATCTATCTAATCGTTCCAATTGATAGTTATACTTCGATGGTCGGTTGTTTTTGTTCTATACAAATGTGGATATGAGCTGGGATTGGCTATTTATCCAAAATGATATGAAAGATTGATGTGTGAAAATTTTAAATTTATAGGGATGGGAGTTAGGATTTCAACTCTGGTTTTAATTTTAGGGAAATGTGCTAGATGATGCCTAGATGAGCACTTAGTATATTTGTTTCTTGGGGAGTACAAAATGTGGATGTGGACATGAGAAAAAAAAAAATAGGAGAACAAAGAACTCTGTATATTGTTACTAGTCTTGTGTTCTGTTTTTGTAGTTAATATATTGAATTAGAATTTGATTTTTGTATTTAGCTAGAGTACAAATTATTATATTTGGCCTTACTTTTACTATATACATTTACTACCCATTTGATTTCAGTCTCATCGTGTTATTATCAAGCTTCAAGCTGATATGAAATCACTTTATGTAGCCTGCAGGAATAACTCATAAGTCGTCTCTGCCAACAGATGGACATGAAAGTCAAAAGGAAGAGATTGGGAAGTGTTGAGCTATGTGGAACCAAAAGAAATCCAACTCTCCTTTTTAACTCTTTGAAGCTACCTTTGTTGAAGAAAAATTATTCTTGTTTGATGTTTTGAGACATATGAAAATGTTTACGCATTTTAAGAATTTCGGACATGGTACTTTGGTTATTTACTTTTCTTGGTTCGATATTTCTTTTTGCTCGTATTTCTTGCTTCTGTTTCATCACATGTGACTTTGTTGGTTTCTTTCTGCATACATGGCTTGGACCTAACTTCTTCTACAACTGTGGAAGTTTTTAAAATTCGAAGAACTACGTTTTAATTACGAGAGAATGTACTTTTTTTTTTTTTTTTTAAGAGGAGTATTCTTATTTTTTTACGAGTCAAGCTCGAGCAAAATACATGTTATCCTAGCCTATCAAGCACGAACTCGAGCAGCAAGAGATTATGTTAATCTCGACTCAATAAACCAAATTTTCGCTGTTAGTTTGCAGTCCTAGTTACAATATCTGAATAGGCCACATTATTGTCTATTGGTCTAGTTATTTCATAAAACAATACAAACGTAGAACTAAATCTATGTTAGTGTTCATATTTTCAAGATATATAAGCATAATATATAGACTAGACTATATGAAGTTGAAAAATAAATTAGGGCAAACAATATTAATAAGAGACAGATGAACCATATAATTCATCAAGTTTCTGCTGAATTTGACCTCTGAAAGTATCAGTAAGGAATCAATAAGTTTCCATTTACAGACAGACAAAAGAGATCCAATCCATAGTATAAGTTAATAATCAGTCCTTTTTTTCCCTCTCTTTTCCCAAAGGTTCCCAGATTAGTTTTGGATCAAAAGAACAATTACAAGTATATAGAGTATCCATCCTCAGCATTGCCATACTTGGAGAAAGAAAACAAACAAAAAAAAAAACATTGACCTGCAAAAATTTTGAATGTATTCCTGGTTAATTGAATCGTAAGTCGATGCCGATGAACAGGTTTTGAAACAAGAACTAAACAGATAACTGAACGAGAAAGATGTATACAGGGCGGATCTAGAGATATATTTGACGAGTGGCAGAAGTTAATCGAGTATAATAATTTCAAAAACATTAAGGAGATATAGCTTATAAAACAGTAGTCATAGAAGCAAAATGCTTCTCGTCAGTAGGGTTGTAAACAAATCAAACTTTTTCGATTCGAATTCATGTTTCGTTTTCGTAAAAATTCGAATTTGAATAAGAATAGTTTTTTGTATTCGAATTTTATATCTGAATCTGAATATGCACATAATCTCGATTCAGAATTATCGGATATACAATTCGTTTATAATAATTATGATGTATCAATGTATCATATATCTAATATATTATACAAAATATAAAATTCTATTTATATAACATATATCAAATATAAATATTTAAAAATATAAATAATTTCTGAAAACGAACTTCGAATCGAATCGAATACGAATCACAAATTAAATTCGATAATGAATCGAATACAAACAGTCGAATATCTTCACGAATCCGAATCTAATAGTCGAGCATTCGTCTCGATTCGATTCGTCAACAACCCTACTCGAACACGAAAAGGGGATAAAAATAGAAGTTACCTTCAAAGATGAGACGTCGAGGTCGACGGCCCGTCATTTATCATAAATTTCCCCACACCACACGACCTAACTCGAAACCGAATTCGCGGGTAAGATAGATAGACCATTCCCGTTCGGCGCCACGTCATCGCCAGCCGAAGAACTCTCTGGGCCACCATTCGCACGCGCCGTTGTGTGGGTCCCACCACCTCCGGATTCGAGGCGTTCCATCACTCGGGACACGGTGGCACTCACCTCCCTCCGAACCTCCGAGCCGATCTCCACCATGCTCGGGCTCCGGGAGAAAAGCTTCTCCTTCAACTCTTTGGTACTCTTCGAAATCGACTCTTTGTACCTTTCAAGAATTCACCGATCAAATTCGAAACATTATAGAAAAGAAAAAAAAATTCTTTCGTTTTAGATTATTATTAACTCATACTTTGACGAAATGGAACTGAATCGAGACTTCCATGTGTCGGAAAACGAATGGAACTCCGAGGGGCCCGCGCTGTCTCGATTCGGCAACGATGGCCGGGTTGCATTGTCTCTGAAAAAAGGGGAGAATATATAATTATTTTGAATCGAATCCAATGGCTTTCAAACGGGCCCTTAGGGCCCGAGAAATTGAGGCTACCTATTATCACGGGATGACGAGCCGAAAATCTGACTGCCGTGAACAAATGTGTTGTTTTCGGTTATAGAGCCCGTCTCGGGAGTTTCTTCTTCTCCACCTGCACCAGTAGAATACACCACAAACTGCGAGCGGGCATGGCCCGAACGGCTCCTCGGGCCCGAACTCCGTGCAATTCGGTGGGTCCCACTCATCGCCGCCAAATGTCGCATGATCCGCTCCTCGAGTTCCGCGTCGTCCATTCCAGCTGGCAACTGCATTGGAAAAATCGACGGATTTG